TTTAAAAAAAAAAAAAAAAAAAAAAAAGAAAAAAAGAAAAAGAAAATGGTGACATTTTAAAGGTATCTATTCCACATCTCTGAGAACTGCATTGCTTATTAGATATTCCATTATATTGCATGAAGTTCTTTTATACCGAACTTTATGACTCAGAATTTTTGCTAGTTATATGCCAATGTTACTGCGAACTCCAGCAGCACAGCTCAACTGTGAGAAAGAAAAATATTCTATAACTAATAAAAATCATCACTTCTATGTTAACGTCTTAGAAACTCAATCAAGTTCCTCTGGAAGCTTGAAAAGCACATTTTATGTATTTTACTCTCTCAAACATGGAAAATAAGTCTTATGGAAGAATACATATTCTCATATAAGCAGACATAACATTTATTATAACCTTTTGAGAATGCTTTAATAATGGAAACAAAATATCTACTATTATTATTATTATCATTATTTCATGGTGAGTTTTGGGAAACATTCAACACCTAGCACGTTTCAGCTAAAGAAGTCAAAAAAGAGATTTGAAGACACTATGAATTGCCTTATGGGAGCTGCAGCTGGAGTGTCTTAATTCTCAGTCTTCTTTAAAGTGAACTTATTTCAAACTCAATTGCTTGTGAAGTACCATGATTCCTTTCTCCTTAAGTGGTGCATCATGGCAGCCTCGCAAACATAGCCTATCACGTCTGAGAGAGGAGCAAGAGAGCTTTGTGTACCTGTACAATAATTTCCTGTAGGCACAACAAATACTCCAGAGTTTAGACAAAACGTTTAGATTTTGGACTGAAGAGGGTGTGGGGATTCCCTTTAAATTACTTCAGGTTTCGAGGAAAAGGTGTTGTCATTAGGTTAGAAAGCATCTGAAGGACAACATGCACACAAATTATTTTAAACAAAAACAAAACCTCATTAGATTCATTAATTTTGTGTTTGTTCTCTAAGCTAGATTTTACATAGGTGCATTTTAACACTTCATATACACTTAAAAATGCAAAGGACTTCTTCAATAAGTTATGAGAAGTGTTAATCAAATTTTCTTCATATAAAAAGTATATTCATTGCAAATGCAACAATATCAAAAATGAGAGTGCAGCATCTGCATACTTTCAATCACAGAACAGGTAGTCCTACATGTAAACAATGAATAACTGTTTTGATAGCATTTTTCTTTTTCCTGCGTAGTAATAAAAGGGCACTCCAGAAGTTCCCATTCTGTGGTATACTGACAGCATAAACTATCATAAATTGGTAACCTCAAAGAAACTGTTTCCCTATTTTTTTCAAACAGATGGCAGAGCAGCGGTGCCACTAAATGTAATTTCTTCTTATACGACCCCCTATTGGTATGTTATCTTTTTGTACAGTAATGAAAACTCTGGTGGGGTCTGAGCTTCAGTAGCTCAGATATTCAGGACAGATTTTCATGAATAGAGTGTATTTGGGAAAAAGAATACTATCAGCAGCAGATGTCAATGAACAGGATTACGAATGAGCGAGAAAAACAGGTTTCCCTCAGAGCAAGGTTTGAATGTTGTGTGGGACAGATCATAATGCAAAGGAATAAATTTTAGTTACTATCTTGCCTATCTGATGCATCCAAAACGCTTTTTTTTGAGTAAAATAACATAAAAGGCCATTAAATAAAGAACAGCAGCAGACATGATTGTATGTAACTGGTGAAGACAAAATGCAGTTGCTCCTGGAATTAGAAAACAGGAATAGAGAGTTTGGTAATGATAATAATGAGATGATTCCTATCACCTCAAGGGGCCTGCTACAGTCAGCTCTCCACAGGCAGCTTTTCTACTTTGTTGACAAATGCAGCTGTGAAGGCAGATATCCAAGACAGCTCTATACAGGCTGGGTCATGTCTGTCAGGGTTTATTTATGAGCCTATATGCAGTAGCTGCCTATCCTGCTTCTGAAGCAGGGGAGTCAGCATGGGATAGTGCATAAGCAAACAAAACCTCTCAAAACCAAGCTCATCAGCAGCTGAGTTTCTTTGTCTTGCTCTCCTCAGCCCTTTCAGTTTTAGCATCCCAGTTCTGGCAACGGCTCTGTACAAATATGAAGCATAATGAATATGTGTTCTTCTGGAAATGTGAAGACTGAGGCTTAGTTTCCCAGTGAAGATGTCTGCTCTAGAAGGTACTGGAGGAGGATATTTCTATACCAGTTTATTGTATATAGTTCTACATAGGGGACTTCTGTGATTTGAAAATTAAGACTAGAAAATTAAGTAAAAGATGGCCAATCCATTGTTGGTCATAATCAACAAGTGCCCGCTCACCACACTCTTCTGAGACATCTGAACTTCCTGTACAAAAGACTTCCACAGCATTTTTTCTGTACAAAGAAAAAAGCCATAAAGTTCCCCAAATTCACTAGGTTTGCCATTGAATTCAGTCGGCAAGAAATACATCTGGTTTGATGATTGTCTTCAATCAAATGGTTGCATTTGAAGTAAAAAATGGTCTCAGTGTCCAGAATCCAAGTAGCGGACTTCAGAACAGTAACGCGCCAACACGACACGAAAGGGATTCCTCCCATTTAAATGAAAGGCTTGGTGAGCAGCAGGTCTTTTATTGCCAAAGCAAGAGAATTTTGCTTGAGATGAAAGAATGTGGGAAAGTTAAGGATCTAAAGATCTCTGAAAGGGACTAAAGATAGTTCAACTCTTATGCTTTTCATAAATGCTTTATTCTTTAGATCAGTTTAATACCTTTCCCCAAGTAATGCCTGCACCAAGAACACACCTTCTTTTTGAAATAGTCCATAGCTTTTAGGAAGCTAGTCACTTTTAAGGGAAACACTTGAAGCAACGGCAAATCCAGCTCACCTATACATAACTTGTTTCAACAGCTAACTATTCTCATTGCTGGGAAGGTGATAGAGCAAAAGAAAATATTTTTTGGACTAGTTTTTATTTCATCTTGCGGCCACTCAGTGAATTTTCCCATCCACCAGCAAGAGCTTTCAATAGTCAGGACTCTCTTTTTTTGAAGATACGCATAAACTACAGAATGGTCACATTTGGCATCTTCCCAGATCCCTTACGTGGGGTCAGGGTGCCAGTTCATGCCTCTGCTCCCCCGGCAGAGGTGGTCTCTCATTCTCTAGCAAAATACCATGATACTGCTTTAGTGTTCTGCAGTGACAGAATTAGCTGTCATCATACTGGAGTTTGGAAGCAGTATGGAAAGAAGTGAGGATCTAGATGGAAAAACGTACTTTTCATTAAAATTATTTAAATTAAAAAGGGAAAAAATGCAAAAGCCTTCCTCATATATAATGCAACTAATTACATTCCTATTCATCTGGCTGGCATAACTCCAGGGAGACTAACATAAAGCAGGAGACTAGAGTTGGCAGCTGGGCTCAGGTGTCATTTAAAAGTCAGCATGCCTAGAAGTGCATATTCTGTTCTGCCAAACACCTGGCTCAGGACTTCTTTCAGATTTGTTTTCTCATTTTCTGTTTCTTTTGCTGCTCTGAGAAATTTGTAGGTTCTTCTGCATGAAGACAGTCTAAGGAAAGAAAGTCTTCAGCCTTCTCAGCTTCAGAAGGATGCTTCAGCCATTCTGGTGAATTTCTACCTCTGAGCAGCCCTGAGCAGCCTGATTTATCTAAAAAGAGCTAAAACGATTTTCTGGTTTTCCACTCTGTAGCACTCATTTTATTTCATGCTAAGGCAAATAAATACATCTACTACTTGTACCTTCCAAGATAATGTATAGCGGGTTAAAGTCACAGTTCAGATCTCAGCAGGTTTCAGATTCAAATGCTCATTATATATCGGGGAATCAGTGTTCAAACAGAGAAACAGAAAAGTAATCTTCAAAAGGCATGAAATTTCTTATGTTTAGAAACTTTTTTCAAAGATCTTGGGATTTCTAGGTTTTAAACAAGCAACCTGCAACTTAGAATGCCACCCAACAGATGACCAGACTTCTAATGGATTAAAAAAAGAAAAAAGAAAAAAAAAAAAAGAAACCCAAGAAAGACATCTGTCCCCCCAACAAACAGTAGGGTAATTTAGCTAAGGAAATATCTACGTGTGTCCTGATATCATCAAGAAATTAGGAGAGACGGGAAACTCTGTGAGCAATCAAGATAATGAACCCTGACATGTAACATCCTTGTCTCATGAGGTTTTTCCAAAATTTAATGTGAGCATCTAAGTATAGGCTTATTGTTCCTTAACTTCTTTCTTGTGGATTTTAATTGTTTTTTTTCCCCTTAACCTGGCATACTTTTTCATAGAATATGTAATTACTGCTCCTCTGTTAAATATGTTTGAAAAGTGTTTGCCTGTTCAAAATCACTGTGTGGGGATAGAGATAAGCACATCCAGCATAACTTGCTTAGGCTTCATTTCTTAGGAGAAATGCTATAAAACTATATCTAGCCTTCACCTAGCATTGGCTACTATGACCTTGTAGTGCACTGTCCTGCAATCTCAGATTGCCACCACAGTACAGTCTAGAACAGCAGCTCACCAAATAAAGAAAAACGTGGATGACACAATCAGGAACCGTGTAAATCAGCTGCTTTTGATACTCATGTACAAACCTCATGAAGTGTTTTTGGTAACCAAACATTAAAGAAAAGATAGATGAACGTGTACAGTGAAGCCTATCTAAACAAACTGATACAAATCACATTCATAAACCAACATTTACATAAAGAGCTTCTACAGAAATCCCTACAACTATGATTTTTGACACTGAAAAGTGACTCTGGGGATATAAGATGCCCAGATGAATAAGCACATTGTCTGGAAATGAGGCCTTATTGCAAATGCCACACAGTGAGTAACCAAAAAAGCCTAAGACTTCAAATGACAAGTCATTTCTGACTTTTTTTGTTTGTTAGTTTGAAACATCTGGGCACAAGAAAGCTCTAAACCCATGGAAGGCTTTGAGTCTTGGTGTCATAAGTCTAAAACTTCTTATGGAGACTGAAGCATAACCTACAGAAGCCAAAGGAAGTTTTTCCATTGACTTTAAAAAGCTTGGATCTCAACCTAAAAGAAAATTAAGGAATATACAGATATACTGCTTCGTAAGAGAAATATAAGCTCTTCTGATAGTACAGATTTCTTGTTCTTTGACTGTTTGTACCTGAATTTTGCAGTCTATGCCTGAAACTTCTGCTGTCACATATCATCACACACCAACTTCCTTTAGCTTTTATTCATGCAGTGCTGCGACTGAATCACTGGAAACTTTCAAAAAAATAAAAACCCTGGAATTGACATTTAGCAACAAATGTTTTTGAGGACAACCCATCCCAGAAATCTTCTTTAACTGGATATTATGTCATTGGTTCAAAGAAGAAAAATAAGCTGAAATCAGAATCCAAATTCTAGTTTGACTTTCCTTCTAATTTGTTTACACTCAAACCATTCAGATTTCCCCAGACATAGAAAAACAGAAGATTTAATCCTTCTTGCCCTGCTTCCTACCCGCAGTTGTCACACCGACACTACACCACACACATGTGAAAATTATTACCATTCTTCTCTATCTGCGTCACAGTTGCAAAAATATCTCATATCCAGACAACTTTCTTCGAGTCCGCATGCACACTGCTGAATGCCCGGAAGTGATCCTCCCCAGTAAAGATGCTTTTCATTGGCACGTCCAACCCACCAAGCAAATGGTATTCCATCTGGATGAAAGGTACAGAAGGAGGAAAAAAAGAGAAAAAGAGAAAGAAAGAATTTGATAAGCAAATCTGATTCTCTTGAGAATGAGAAAGAGAATGGAAGTGGACTTGTTAAATAATATTGAAAGAAAAGATGCAAACTTTAGAAATAACAAACCATAAACTTTGCCCAAATTCTATTTTAATGAATACATGTTGAGAAAAGAGTAGCTTTATGGTAATACCGTTTGGTTTGAGGAGCAGATGTTTTCCTCACAAGGCTTACGTGCCAATTGACCCTGAGAATTCTGGTGCATTTCAGCTGTAAGGATTTTTGACATGCAATCCTAACATCACTGTCTGCATCACCTCTATCCAGAGAGTTTGCATGATGCTAGAGCAGAGACCTCATCACTGAAGGAGTCTGAAAGCAATTCTAACATGAAACCACACTACACAGCTATCTTGAACCACCTAGTATTGACCAAAGACTTCTTGCAAAACTGGCCAGTCGTGAAGTAAATTCCAGCTCTTAGAATGGGATCTTTACATTAAAATCATATACAAGGTGCAAAAATCTTTTGAAACAACACAAATTCTCATCTATTACTATGAGTTTAATTCAGCTCCTCTTGAAACTAGAACAAAAATTTTATCAGTTTCTAGTGGAGCAGGACTTGGGATTTTAATATGATTTCCAAGGGTGAAATTTGCTAATGCTAAGCTCTGTGAGACATTCAAACGTTCTGGATTAAGGACTCAGGTAGGAGATAAGAATGGAAAAAGATTTCCCTACTTATGAATTATCTCTATGAAACTATTTTCTATCTACAGGAGCTCTATGTATTTATATAAACCAAAATAATTTTTGTTTAAATTTCATAATTTCTTATACATCAAACATCCAATATTAATAGATATGTCAAGCAGATTCAGATACAATTAAATCCTCAGATTAACATTTTTCTAAAATTGAATTTGTCTTCCAGCTCAGATAACTTTTTCATTGACTTCTTAATCCTTAAATCAAGAAATGTAATGAATTACATTGTACAGGTAGATGGTAAAAATTAGCTAAACTGAAATATCAAGACTTTCTGATCACAGGTACTTCCAAAAATAAAATGCAAATCTAATGTAGAAAAATGTATCAGTATGTTCTTCTGCTCTACTAACATTATTAGTAGGCAGCATTCCTCATTATACAAAGCAAGAAAGTGTAAAATATGAAATGCAATCAAGGCTAACAGTAGATTCCAAGAGACTAATTAAAACGAGTTTTAGAATCACATGGTAAAATTAATTCATATATGTTTTCCTTCCAAGCTTAGGCTGCTGAACTGTAAACTCATGAAAAAAGGAAAATAAAAATAAGAAGTAACTCCTTTCTCATGATACAAACAATTAAAACAAGAAGATTCTGACCAATATGCAGTGATACTCATTACAAAACCATAATCCTAGAACATCTAAGGATTCATCATACAAAAACGTGCACAATCATTTTCTGTTTCATATTACTGTCAACACAAAGAATGTTTTTATTCTTTTCCCTTTAGCTGTTGTTGCGTAAGTTGATTGTTGTGGCCAGTGAAACAGTTTACTATATTATTGGGAAATTACTTGATAAAGCTTGGAATAGTAACCTGTACTGAATAAGAGAATTATTTGTCTAGCAGTTGAAATAGGCCTTTATATAGATGTGTCTAATTTAATTTCAAAAGTGCCCATTTTGGAAAAAAAAAAATTAGATTAAGATAAGCCTTTCAGACTATAAGCAAATAATAGTATTCATTAACCAAATTCAACCTGTTTCTTAGATTTTTTTGGCAGAAATAATTATATACCTTTGCATAACAGTAAAATAAGCAATCAATCTCAGTAATTAAGAATTAACAGTTTTCTAACATCTTTCAATTTCTGATATGTTTTATCAACCAATATCAAGCAAACATATAGATTTATGATATAGAGTGAGGAAGTTGTCATCCATAGTCATTTAAAACTGAATTAAATATGCTAAAAAAAACTTGGAATTCAACACTATCAGGAACAGTCTTAGTTTGTCAAGGGAACAGACCAAACAAAAATCTTCTCAAAAATTCTTTTTATTAGGCACAGTTCTGTTGCCCTTTAGAGAAGATGAGAAAATTCTTTCTCCCTAACTGGTCCCTTTGAGATCAATTGTACTATTAAGGAAAATTATGCCCAGTTTCTTCAAAAATCTTTTCCATCTGTTTATATTATAACACATGAGAAATTACTGAGCTATTCAAGCAAAGCTCTTAAATCTGTGGGACTCAAAGCAATACATGAAGCGTTTAGGGATTACTGAGACAAACTGTATGCTATATACTTGTAATGCTGAAGTAATGTAATATTTCACTAACAACACCAATCAATCTATCCTTAAATTCTTCCTAGAAATTTTATATAATTCTATACTGGACAGTGTCCGGCATTGAGACTGGGCTCGATCAATAGTTGTTCACTAAGGTTCTTCTAAGTCTGTAAATGTGTTACAACACCTTCCATTCTGTCATCCTGGTATGATTTATTTATTTTTTTTCGAAGCATTACCAATTCTTCTCCATCTCTACATAAAGCAATTTTATTTCTGTAATGATGAAGCCTCTGACTTAGGCCAGTAACATTAATCAAGGATCATTAAAATTGTCCAAGAAACTAATAATGGTTGCATAAGTCTGTAGAATTTCACCTAAAATATCTAAGACAAAAGGTCCGCTTAAAATCAAATGTTATTAATTTTTCATTATTTGCTTAAATTGTACCCAATAACGTCCTTTTTAGTAAACAAACAAACAAACAATGAAGTAAAACCACTATGGAATAAATAAAAGTACAATTTCCTATGCATTTTTGTCTATTTAGAGCTGAAGAAAAATCAGTTATAATAATTATTTTAAGGCTGTCTTTGAACTTCATACCATGGTACCAAAGGAGAAAATGCGTGGAACAATCCCAAACCAGACAAAGCAAACAAGCCTTAAGTGACCAAGTCAATCTCTAAGAAAACTAGAAAATAGTTTCTTACAAGTTATTCCTCCCCATCTGCTCAATTTGCTCACTGAAAAGTTGGCATAGGTTTTTTGAAAGGAAAGAGTAAGAGGTCTTATCTTCAGTTGACCATCTTGATGTTTTTTTCTACCTCTACAGTCTTGCTCTTTGCATCTACTGATTTATTCAACAGCTACTAAGCATACTAAGCATCCAGATGCCCAAGTAAGATTGAAAACCTTGTTATATATACACATACCCTGGCATACTAAAGCACACAGACAAGAACTCAATTTTCCTCCATCCTGAGAGGCACAAAGTAAGCTCCTTTCAGATGCCAGTTCTTCAGCAGATTGCCACTATCTGCTCTATCAGTGTGCTTAACTGCACAGTTCACTGTTAGTTCTACAAAATGTATTTCACCCGAAGCAAAATTGAAGCAGTCAGTACAGATCATGAGCACAGAGGCTGAGGACTATGAGGACAGTAGCAGTGAGACATGTGTAGGTTGTCTCTAGTGATCCTTAGAAGGAGATGGGTCTTGAGATTAAATTCATTTGCATCGTGTATTGCTCTTCTAGTCATGAGAGTGGCTGAGCACATACTGGGATTAGATGTCCCTCTAAAAAACTTACTAGAAAATGTCTGTTCGTTTAAATCTCTGTTGTAGTGACAGTTCTCCCTTCTTTCTTTCTTTCTCTATTAGAATACATTGGTATTGCTAGAAATATGAATTATTTTAAAGGTTTTAGGTTTGCTCATGTTTGAATAGCAGAAGTTATTTCAAAAATATTTTTGTATAGACACTCAGAAGCTGGAGGATGGGGAAAGCAGCATATTGAAACAGCATTTTGCACTAAATTACAGTGTATATTGATCCCTAGCAACTTACATGGAGACAATTTACTTATATATAGGCAGAAAGTCTTGCCATTGACATTTATGTTTACAAAGCATGAGTTAAAATAAGCCACGTGCTTTTAACAGTATTATATTTTGAATATTTTTCAAGATTTGTCGGCATCGTTTGCCAGGTGGCTCTTGTTATTGCTACAAACAAAGATCTAATGATAGAAATATAACAAGATAAAGTATATTCCATGTTAAAGTCCTGTGCTGTACAAACTGAAAATCCATCTCCAATAATTGCATATCCTAACACAGAGAAGGCTTCTAGGGTTATCCAAGATATTAAAACAAGTCAGTTTAAGGTTTTTTCAACTACCATAGCAAGCCAATTTATTTGTATGTATTTGAACTATTGAAACCAACCATATTGTACTGAAACAACATTCTTTTGGCAGTCTTATGTTCAGTTTTCTCTCTGAAGTCACACTGAGTTCAGCAGAGAACTGAATTAAATCTGATGTTTACATATCCTACATATCCTATCAATAAAAAAATAGACTAAGTTACATCTATGCTGTTTTCTCTTAAGTGGAAAACACATCAACAATGAAAACTGGAAAAATATTGATTGTTGAATAGAATAAAGCAATTGAAGGCAACTGGCTGCTAGCAGTCAAGAATATAAAATATCTGTTTGCATCAATTGCTTCAACAGCATCAAAACCTCACCCAGTATCTCGTATGTCACATGAAACGATTAGTTAGTAGACATACACGCATACACACTGCAGTGCCAACCTGAATAACTGAATCCAAAAACCAATTCAGAGGCCAAGTTATGCACCCAGCTGATCCATTCTTAAAAACATCTCAAAAGAAGAGGAGAAAGTAGTAAGAGAGTGAGAACAAAGAAGAATTCCAAAGATGTATTTTCTAAGATCTTACCATGCTTCTGATTTGTTTCCATTGCAACATATCCCTAGCCTGAACTGCAATCTAAGTCAGCCCCTTTGACCTTTTCAGCAGGAAAAAAAAAAAATAGAAGAAATGTTTACAATAATTTTGGTCAAAATTTTGGATAAACTGAAGAATTGTTCTACATTGAATGAATAATGCAAAATAAAAATTTGTATCAGCTATCTGCTCAACAAAGAAGT